TGCACCGCTGGCGGGGAGGAGGTAGAGAAATTGGAAGTGAAGTTGAGTTGAGGAAGGAGGAAGAGGGAAGGGGTGGGGAAAAAGTGTTTTTAAGGTTTGATTTTATTTCTCATTATCCTACTCTGATTGATTGGTAATAAATTAAACTAATTTCCCCAAGTCAAGTCTGTTTTGCCCATGACAGTAATTGGTGAGTGATCTCTCTCTGCCTTTATCCCAACCCCCAAGACTTTTTTTATATTTTCTCCCCCTAACCAGCTGAGGAGAGGAGTGATAGAGTGGCACCTGACATCCAGCCAGGGTCAACCCACCACAGTGTGTTATGCCTGGTAACTATAATGTGGCAGGAGACAAGAGTGAGGAATGGTCTGAAAATATATTTCAGAAAGGCAAAACTCACTGCTAACATTCCATTTTGTCATTTTTCCTAGACAAATAACAATATCCTGAATAAAATTAATGACTCGAAAACACATGCTAGTGTACAACCTGTGCATTTCTTTTAGACGGCCATGGGTGCAATATTTATTAAAAGCTAAAATAATAGTTAAAAAGCTCTCTAGAGTAACCCCCACACACACCCCTCGCCAAACCAGAACAACACAACGGCATTGCCAAGAACAAAGGTCCAACTGAAAAACAAATTCACTAATCTATTCACAGTTTAGGTCAAATGTCTGTCTTAACTGTGTACCAGCTTATGAAAGCTTTTTTTTTTTAGCCACAGTGAGGAGGTTAACCATAAAGCTATTACCAGGGTCATGCTTATGTCCTCAATACAGCTACTAAAACAACAGTTAAGTTCTGAGAAGAAAAAAACTAAAGTGCTATAAAAATGGCAAGATATGACCTCAAAACCATATTTTGAACATTAAAACATCTTCTTCTTAAAATATAGTATTACTGAATTACTCAGGCTCACTTTTTCTTCCTCTTTTACAGACAAACGCTGTTTAAGGCCTTCAGGTACCACTTCCCCAGTGAACAGCCAGCACACATCTCAGCCCCCTCAACACTCAGCTGTAAGTAAAGATCTTAAACCCTTTTCACAAACAGATTTCCCCTTTTCTGTATCATCATTTAAGGTTAAGTGCAGTCTATTTAAAGCCAGCCACATAACGTTCAGTTGTACAAGGTCACACAAATTCCTGTGAGCCGTTCCGGTTTCACTTTGCACCGATGTCCTCACCACTTGCTTTCACTTACCGACTGCCGGAGATCTACCAGAGCATCCCAGCCAGGAGCAGTGCCGTTTCTGCTAGCCATAGTTTCACGGATGATGACTAACATCACATCTTTATTTTGTTTTATTAACAGAAACACATGCCTGTACTGGAGGGAAGAAGCATGCCAAGTGTTAGAGGTATAATAAAAAAAAATACCCATTTCTGCAATCAAAACCAGAAATTGTTCCTTCTATATTTAGCTTTTGTACATAAGCAGAGACTGTAGATGACAGAAAAGACATGGTTTTCAGAACAGCAGCCACTTCCCACAACAATCATACTACAAAATTCGCAATACTGTTTCAACTATCTAACATCAAAGTAATTATTCTGCAAAAGGAAATGTTTTTTATCTCATGAGTTCTCTATTCCTCAAGGGAGGGAAAAAAAAGC